CACCCCTTGAAAAATGCCCGGGGTGTTTCTTATCGTTTCGCAGCAAGCTTATCCCTCAACATTTCCTCATTTTCAATGAGGCTAGCATAAACTAGTGATTTTAGGTATCCCCACAAGAATAAATCGACGGGATTGAGGTCCGGTAACCTCGGGGGTCAATGCTCAGTCCTTCCTTTTCCTATCCATCGTTGGGGAGATGCTACGTCTGAAAAAGTTCTTGCTATCACACTGAAATGAGCAGCACCTCCATCGCATAAACCACGAGAGATTTCGGAGACCAATGGGAACATCTTCCATAAGTTGGGGAAGCGCGTGTTCCAAAAAATGTAGGTAAGCATCTCCATTCAAACGTAAGGGGAGAAAATGGGGTCCAATTGAATAATTCCCAATTATGCCTACCCATACATTAAAAGAGAATCTGTCTTGGAAATGAGTTTGCGTTATCGCGTGTGGGTTATCTTCCGCCCAGCTGTGGTTGTTATGGAAGTTCATGATACCATTTCTTGAATAATTAGCCTTATTTGTGAAGAGGACTTTCAATAAAATTTGCGGATGTTATTCGATTTTTCTTTGAAGTCATTGAGCAACTTCGATACATGGTTGGAAATTACGTAGCGTAAGTGCCTGGATATGATAAGGATATAATTGCTGTTCCTTAAAAATCCTGTAAACTGTCATGTAACTCACATTTAAAGTTTGACAAATGTTTCTTGTACTTGTCTCTGGATGTTCACTAATTTCTTCGAAAACCGCCTCCTCTAATTCTATAGTTATTGTGATCCGTGGTCGTCCTACTGCAGAATTTGTTTCAAAGCTTCCAGATTCGGAAAGTCGCCGGAAAAGATTCGCAAATGTCGCTGCACAAGGAGTCCCGCGTTGGAGATACCTTTCCTAATATATGCGTTTTCGAGGGATTGCATACGACATACTGAAGAGCTACCTGTCAGATAGGAAACAATGTGTGAGAATTGGGGAAATTTACAGCGACCCTTTTGACATAAAATATGGAGTACCCTAAGGGACGATTCCAGGGCCAATATTATTCATAATCTACTTGAACGATTCATTTGAACTAGAAACTGAAGACGAAATATTAACTTTTGCGGATGATACCGCTATTATTTTTACTGATTCATCGTGGGAAGGCCTGAAAGCTAAGGTTGAAAAAGATTTTCAAAAAATTATGCATTGGTTCGATACAAAATTACTAACAATCAATAATGATAAAGCCACAAGCCACATAAAGCAATGCTTTATGTGGCTACCTTATTATTCATTTGTGATATTGACATTGGTTACTGCGGTAGTTCTTGGCAAACAAATATTACTATTATCTTATTATTACTATCATTTCAATACCCAAAAATCATCAAAACGGTCACAATTTTTTGAATACGTAACTAAAAGAGGATTGAAACAGCTTCATAGTTATTTATCACATGTAACGCAAAGTTTGTAACGTGAATTTTCAAAGATGCAAGTCTATACATATTTCACAATCTCATATTTAATCTCATCTTCTCTCGATCATATCACAGTCTTCCAGAAACATATTTTGCTTTCGAAAATGTGTTCAATTTTTTTTTTAAATCTTCACAAACGGTCAACTCATCGACAAAATATAGATTATTGGTGCTTCACTATTACTGAATACGATGAAAATTCTGATGAATTAAAATTGTCCACTTGTCCTGAACGAATGAAATCACTGAAAATATCACATATGCACTACACATTACGTACATTCAAGGATAAGTTTCAATTATTCATAAAAACGTAACATCAGATTTCATCAGAATCAATGTCAGTGAAAGAAAAAAAAATTATTCCGTAGCTGACTAGTACAGGTTCCGTTCTGACGAGAAATCGTGTATCAGATTCTGAGGGGCTGATAAATACAGTCTACAGTTCGAAGGTAATTGAAATGTCATCTACAGATCCATATTCGAGTTGAAGATTATGGCGAGAATGATATATTTTCCATTATAGTCCGACATTCTGTGATTCGTAATTTTACTTCAAACTCAGTATGTCATCTACAAAAAATTAATATACAGGGTGTCCCTGGACTTTCTCTTTTCCTCTCGGGAATGTATAGATGGGGTCAAAATATCACCAGTACTTCATATAACTTTTTTTCCTAAAATCCTTCCTAACCAAGTAACGGGCCCTCGAAGTTACAAAATGAAAAATGTTTTTCTTTGATAACTTTTCAAGTGAATATTCAAAATCATCCAAATTTTGGTAATTGACTAAACAAATGAATTCCTTCGATGAGCTTTCATGCTTTCGATAAGATAATTGTCATTCAATTCAACAGGTTGAACCAGCGCAGAAAGACGTCAGGTCGGACCTATCTGAGCGGCGCGGCAAAGAGACGAAAAGCTGCGGAAGAAAAACTTTCGATCGCAAAGTTGCCCAAGCTGTCGTCAACAACAGCTCAGTCACCACCAACCGTTGCACCAACTGGTTGCAGTTCACCGAGAAAGATCGCGCTATATGGATCAGTAAGGGTCCGGAATTTTTCCAGAACAGAAATAGCGATTTCTCCGATTCTGCCAGAAGTTATACGGAACACGATGAAAAAGTGAAACTTCGATGCCTGAAACCATCGGTGTTTACTCGGAAACTACAAAACGGCGAAACAGTTGACAGATCCTGGCATGTGTACTCTCCATCACAGAAAGTTTTGTTCTGCTTTCCGTGTCGATTCTTCTCACGTGTAGCGCATTCAGTTCTTCCAGAGGCTTCAACGATTGGAAACATTCCGGGGCGTGCATTTCGGAACACGAGAACAGTCCAGGACACAAGCAAGCCATCTTGACTAACGTGGCACGGAAGAAGAGCGTTGGTCTTGTTGATGAAGGTTTGGCTACTCAACTGAACAACGAAATGACTTACTGGAGAGAGGTGTTGAGAATGATTGTGGAGGTCGTAAAATTCTTAGCATCCAGAGGTCTGTCGTTCCGCGGGGACAACGAAGTCATCGGATCGCAACATAACGGAAATTATTTGGGTGTGCTGGAACTGCTAAGCAAGTTTGATCCATTTCTTGACGACCATTTGCACAATCATGCGAATAAAGGTGCAGGACATGTTTCCTACTTGTCAGCACCCATTTGCGATGAGTTCATAGCTATAATGGGACATCAAGTACTGGGCCAAATCATTTTGGAATTAAAGAAAGCGAAGTACTACTCGATAAGCGTCGACTCTACCCCTGACATCAGCCACGTCGATCAGCTCACTTTCGTGGTGCGGTACATGAAGGACTGCTCCCCACTAGAACGATTTTTCGATTTCATTCCGATTGAACGGCATGTAGCAGAGTACCTGTCCGATACCGTTATATCTTTTTTTGAAGAAAACGGTATAGATTCACAGGACTGTCGTAGGCAGACGTACGACAACGCTCCAAACATTGCAGGGCAGTATAATGGATTTCAAGCAAAGCTCAAGGAACACTGCACCTGCGCCCTGTTCGTCCCATGTCTGGCGCACAACCTGAACCTTGTCGTTGGGCAGGCCGCTGAGGACCATGGATGACGAACGAGAAACTCTGGAAACGCAAAACGAAGCTCGAGGCATTTTGGCGAAACTGGAAACGTTCGACTCTGTTCTGCTGACCGAGATGTGGAGCAACATTTTGGTCAGGTGCAACGAGACGTCGAAGAGTCTATAGAGTGAAAATCTTTCTCTCGAAGTAGCCCTCAAGTTGGTGGATCCCTGCCTGCGTTTGTGGAGAATCAACGCGACATGTTCGAGGCCTACGAAGCTGCAGCAAAAAAGATCTTCCCGGAATACAGGCATAAGACAACCCGTTCGAGACAAAGGAGCTCCTGACTGACTTTCTCCGATGGAGCTGCCGAAGATACCCAGTTCCAGGGCCGCGAGAAATTCAGGATTGAGGTCTACCTTCCAGTCATCGACTCTTTAATCACTCAACTGCAACATCGTTCGAAGGCTTACGATCAACTACTCAATTTGTTCGGATTCTTTTCCAGGTTGAGCGTTTTGCGATTTGAAGAGCTACAAGGTCATTGTCAAACTTTTAGCGAGTTTTATACAAACGACGTCAACGAAAAAGAACTGCTGATGGAATGTGAACACTTTAAGCATTATTTGATGCAGGAAAAAATGTTCGGTGATCACATACCTATCTATAACATGTACAAACTTTCAGAGAGTAACAATCTTGCTGCCACGTGTAGAGATCGCGTAAGAATTTTCTTGTGCTTAATGATCACCAACGCCAGTGGTGAACGATCATTCTCCAAACTTAAATTGATCAAAAACGAACTGAGGAATATCATGAGCCAGGAGAAACTCAAATGGTTGTCGCTTATGAGTATAGAGAACGATGTTCTTAGAGATTCAGAATTCAAAGATGTAATCGAGGAGTTCGCCATTCGAAAGGCCCCAAAAAACTTGTGTGATGAATAAAATGTTGTAAAAAATATTTGTAACATGTGTTTTTGTAAAAAATATTTTTTTATGGGTAGGGGGAGGGGCCCCCAACGGTGACTTGCCCAGAGCCCCGGAAAACATGAAAACGGCACTGCTAACAGAGGAAAAAAAATTGATAAAACGGTTTCTGAAAAGAACAAACAAGATACAATAAGACTTTTCTGACTGATGAAAAGTGGTTTGCAGTGGTCTTGTGATTTTTCCTTACATAATATGTATCTGACAGCTTTTTTTGTAGAACGAATACTGAATTTAGTAATTGCTGACTACAGAAGCCCTAAAAGGCAATTCCATATCTCAAATGCGACTCTATCAAGGAAAAATATACAGTTCTGGCTGAGAATTGGTTGAGTTCGTTAGAAACAATTCGAACTGCATAGTTGCCAGATGCTATTTTTTGCATGAATTTGTTATATGCTCATTAAATTTTAATTTATCATCTATAAATACACCTAAAACTTGTGTGTGAGTTTTGTTTACTATAGCGTGATTTTCTATAAGTAAGTTATCAAAATTGAGTTTGAAGCAGACTATGTTTGTTTTATTTGTGTTGAAACATAAGGAGTTTGAATTGCACGGCTNATCCTTTGATAGCTCTTCAGAGACACTCAAGGTGGAACTCTCATATAAAATATATAATAGAAAAACTTCCGTTTCTTTGAAAATTACTCACCTCGCAAAGAACTTGAACAATTATTATATAGTTTCCTAGTGGAGAGCCATTTGAGATATGGTATAACAGATAGACATCTTTCTAAAAGCTGTTAGAGTGAAATAAGTTAGTCATAGTCAAATGTATCCCAAAGTTGTGTCATACTTTATTGTAAGTAGCATAATCTTATCCATATTGCCTAAGATTTTATTCCTTTGCACATTAATATTTTTTTCTTATAGAACGTGTAATCTTTGTCCAAGGTTTTATATATTTTTCTTATTTATTGTTTGTCTAGTATCCAATCTGCCTATTTTACCACAAGCCGAAATATGATTTGTTCAACTATGAGACAAAATTCACAAAATTCAAAACTCTATTTATTAGTTTTTTGAATATGGATTTTCATCAAGTATCGGCCAGTTCTATTCAAAATGTTTCGTAGTTTCCATTCCATGAACGCCACACTTACTTTTTACACGCTTTATATTAGCTTCACTGTATGTATATATCTATATTTGTTTGCTTGTAACTCTATTGATTATTTCTTAATCTATTCGAGGGCAGATGGGGCTGTACGTGACTATTAATTAATGCTTGATCTATTCGAGGGCAGATGGCATTGTAGCTATTAATTATTGCTTGATCTATTCGATGGCAGATGCCGCTAATAAAATTATTCACGGAAAAATATTTTCAGTTCATTGATATTTTGAATGAAACTTCAAATCGAAACATCAAGACTAAATTGTTTTTTGAAATTATTACTGCAAATTTTCTCTTTACTGCGAAACAAATTTTACAACTATCCGCCCTCTGTTGGAGACTTACTGCATCTTACCTCAAACTGTATTATGTTGTTTGAGAGAAATTTTACATTCGTGCGCCGTCTTTCAAAGATTTATTATACTAGTGGCTAGAACTTAAAAAAATTATTTCTGACAGTAAATCGGACTGAAAAGTGAAAAATAAATATAGTTAAAAAAACTGAAAAACACGCTTCTATAGCATATGAATCTAAAAAGTGAAAAATTATTAAAGTTCTACAAAACTACAAAACATGCTTTTAAAGAACATCGAACTAAAAAGTAAAAATAAATATATTCAGTTTAAAAAAACGAATTATAATATTCATGCAGTCATTGTTCATTGTGGTTCTGGCGTTGAAATTGGTCATTATTACGCCTTGGTCAAAGACGAAACGGACTGGTTTAAGTTTGACGATAGTCGTGTCACGAAGTGTTCTGGCGATGCATTGAATTTATTGGAGCCTCTGGAGACACCCTACATTTTGTTTTAT